TTTTGGTGTGAAGTAAAGAAGTTAGTTGGAAAATTTTAATTGAGTGAGACGTGGGTTCTAAGTCTACGAAGAAGAGAAGTAACGGGGTTTTGTTGAGTCTGTGAAGGATTGGTGTTACTTGTCTGACCTCAAATAAATGCAAGACTAGCTCTTTTTTTATTAACTCTCATGGTGTGGTTGGATGTATCTTACGAATTACCACTCGAATTTGGTTTTTCCTCCTGTAATTGGTGAAAAGTGTGAAATTCTCTATTTTCTTTTCTTAGAAATTGAACAAACGCTTTATATGACTTGGGATTTGCTGTTTGAATTTTTAATCGGTCGGTTGTTGATTTGCAGTGGAAATTATCAACACCGATCAGGTCAATCAGTTCTGTGCACATACTAGGAAAATCGTCCATGCCTCTTATGAAAATAAGAGGAGATATAATATTTTTATGAATTATATTTGCTACAGGCTCTGTAAATGAAGTCTGTGCGTCTTCGGCAGAGAGGTTGGGTGATTGTTTCATTGAAATGAAAACTTTGTAGCGATTTCTTGACATGCCGACGCCTTAGGGTAACAACGGTGGATCCGAGTTTGTGTACGAAGAGCTTGAATGAGTTCTTTTTGTCGTTTTAGTAGTTCAACCGTTGTTTTCGGCGGAATTTGGCGACGTCGTATAGGGGTTATTAGTTTTATTAATTTTATTAAAATTATTATTCTTGATTGTTTTATTTATGTTTTGATTTGATAGTGACGGTGTGTTGGAATTATTTTTATTTTTAATAGTGGTCGACGTATTAGACATTGTGGCGATAGCGTTAGGTGATTAAGATAATTGGACAGGCGAGTGACGGTCTTGATATAAAACGCAACGCAACTGCAACACACAGTAAGTGTTGCGTAATAATTGTAAAATAAATAGATTATTTAATATTTTAGTCGTTGGGAGCGTACATTTTAACACTTAAGTGAAATGTCGTATGGAAAATAACTAAATAAAAATGTTAAAGAGATATTGATAAACAATATCGCATTATTATTTTTAAATAAAAAATAATGAACTCGTTGGATAACGATAACGCACTAATTGACATGACGGGACACAGCGATATCACACATGTGCATCGGTCGACGACCACTACGGAACTTGAAATATTATAAAATGTTTTAATTGATTTTATTAGTATAGTCCCTCTATAGATATAAGCCTTACATATAGTACTATTGATAGAGATCATTTTTAGCATTTCCATAACGTTTTCTAGAAAATCTTGAAAACCCATGAAGTGTAGCAATAAAATGGATGAACATAACTTCGAATTCGTTTTAATATCAAATTTGAGACGCTATAGTAAATTATTCATATAAAAAAGAGGGATTAAATTCAAAATGTATGATTTTATCTGTATATTTTATTAGGACGAAAATTGTGATATTGAATGTAAAGCGCTGTATTGTTGTGTAAATTTTATCTGTCAGCGAACTTTACTATGTATAATTTTGGCCTATTTGTAAACTCTAAAATGATAAACTGTGTGAATAACAGATTCTTGATACATATAAACGTTTGAAAAGCTTTAAAAAAAGTAACATTATTCATTAATAGTAACATTAATCAAACAAGATTAACATTATTTTTATCTTATATTCAATTTTTTAGAAGTGAAAAATTATCGACGGAAACGTAGCATAGTTTTCCATTAAGAAAAAAATAACGTAAAATAAAAATTACAACAAAGTAGTGAGAAATGGAATGGAGATAAAAATCTTTACCGTCCTGCACTGTATAATTTAATAGACTCTTGTCAAAATAAAACTACACGACGAGGAAATGGCTTAAAGTATAAAATAAAAAATAAAAAATAAAAAATAAAACCATAAAGTATTTCGAATGCGATATAGTCGTCACCATGTTTTTTTTTCATAAACAGCAGATGCAGCAGCAGGCTCTGACGGCCTGACGTGGTGGTCATTTATTCTATCTGATTACATTATTTAGTTTACAAAAACCGTATTCTTCGATTGGGACGCGAATAAAAAAAAAACAGTATAATGAACATTATTTGATATCGTCTTCTTTAACAATTGAATTCGGTGTGCCACGCTCACGCGTCATCTAATACGATACAATCACACGGAACGTTTACAACAAAAACAATAGGCGTCAAAGTTAAAGAGATAGTAGTTCCCTTCCTCGGTCGTTGTTTTCCAGTGAATCCGGGGCCAACAGTTTTTGATTCACACGACACCGTCTCGTTTTCTCTGATTATATTCACTCTATTATTAATAATAATTAATAATATACGTATGTGCAATACATTCTATCGTCATTTCGTTATATGCGAGTAGTTGACGACGACGAAATGTTTTATACTGGGTTCGAAATAAAATATATTTTTGAAGTAATAGTATATCATCAGGAGTAGCGCACGAATATAAAAAAATGTTTGACTTTCGTTCAACGAGACTTGATATCCCGATCGAAAAATAAACTATAATAATAGGCCATGTCGCGATCAATGTCACAATCTGGTCGTGATATTATAATTGTCGGTTAAGATGCAGTTAGTTGTCTTACTATTTCCGTGTTTTACTATTTTTACATAGCCGTTTGCGGAGCGATTCGATATTCGACGAGGCATTATTTTCGTATTTATTTTATAAGAACGCGTAGCAAATATAATAGTTATTAAAACAATGTACAGCAAGTCATCAGAGCTATATTATATATATATATATATATATATATATATATATATATATAGTATATTTACACTATAATTCACTAGGTCTAAGTCTACATTTAAAGAATCAACCCACACCTAATTGTTTAGGTTTATTGTATCCAAAAATTGTATAATTCGGGTTTTAAATAGATTCAAAGATTTTGACTTCAATTTCGGTTTTCAGTCTAAACTTTGGCGTTTAACTTGGATGCACATTGTTTGCGTACATTTACTAAAATTACAACTCATTTGCGCACATTATTACAACTCGTTTGCGCACAGATTATATCTAGTTACTACTTATTAGCGTACGCACTTTCCTTCCCACTTATATAGACTTAGGACTGTCAGTAAATATTTTAACTTCATTGGTGTAGTTAAAAATGTGTTTTTGGTGTGCTATGTGTTAAAAAATATTCACAATTAATTTTTATTGTAGCGTTCATTTATTTATGTTTATTTTATTTGGGTACTTATTTCAAAGGTTTACCTTGGAAGCGGTTGCCCATTTTTTCCAAGTAATTAAATTGATAAATTTCGTTATTTGAATACTTTGTCCACACGTTTTTCATATACTCAATTGTTTGTGACATTTCTTTCCGGAGATAGTTATTCACATTAATTTTCATTGAATTCAGTTTAAGTTCAGTTTCTGATTGAATGTTTAAAATAACATCTATTATTTGGTACACGTGTGGATGAGGGTTATAGAATTGATTGTTAAAATGCCTATGGAATGTTTTAGCTCCATTTGCTATTCTGGGTGAATCATCTGGTTTTCCCGCCCACAGAGATGAATTGAAATTTGAATTAGGTAATATATATGATGAAAAAACATAATCAGAGAAGTATAATCCATCAGGTGAAGCAATTGTTATTAAATTTGAAAATGATATTTCTATTTTTTCAGGTGGCAAGTACGGCAAACTAAAACAAATATTTAAGCCATTTACTTACCTCTGAATTATTATTTTTATTTTCCCGTAATAATTTACTACTTTTTTGTATTCGACGAAACCAAGATTGAGCTAAATGAAATGTGTAGCATACAATTTTATACTAAAGAAAGGCATTTAAGATTGAGTTATGAGCTGGTTTTTCAAAATCAACATGAAATTCTTTAATAATAGGTCACCGATCGAGAATGTGAGTACAAAGATCTTGAAGTGATTCCCACATAGTTGTGTATGTTGACGTATGTTTATCTTTTAAAAAACAAAATACTATTGGTGCGTAAAAATAATTTTGATAAATATCTATAGTAGAATGGTATACAGTTGTGTAGATAATTTTGGGCAATAAGAAAATAAAATGTTCCATCTCCAAATATATGTGGAGCGTCACATAAAGCACTTAAATTTGTTGAGCATGTAAACAATAATACACTATTATCGTCACTGAAATACATAAATTGTTAATCTTTAAATTTAATTTGAAATTCTTTCAGCTGTAATACAGCCTCGTTAACAGTATTTAGGAGTTTTGGGAAATGTTTTTTTCTTGTTGCATACATTGAATTTCGTAACAAATGCATGTGGTGACATAAATGGTGACATAATGGTGATGATTTAACAAAATATATTAATTATACAAAATATAATCATGGCTATACCATATTATTGTATTAACGAGAGGTCCCTATTACAATATAATATGTTATGCGCAAACGAGTTACAGGTTTTAACTGGGAAATTTTAAAATGTACGCAAACTAGTTGTAGTCTTTAACTTTAAATTTTGTTTAAGAAATTGTACTTATATTTACGTGTTTTAATTTACTTCTGTATAAATTATTTTATTTAAAAATTACTAGTAAACTTACAACATTTGTAGTACTTATATACGAGTACAATTTATAAATAATTTTATTATAGTTTAATGATTGTAATATTAGTTAAGGCATTTTTATAATATGTTTTACTATAAAAACTTATGTACATTCATTTGTCTACGGGCGTTATTCAATAAAATAAATATATAAATACTTATTTAATTATTAATTCACGGGTGAATGGGAGCTTTTCGGTGTACAACGGTGAAGGACGACTACGGGTAGAGGTGCAAGTTCACGGTGTTAAGGAGAAAAATGATTAATATAAAGGGGTTGATGTGACTGAGGTAGTATAATTATTGTTAAGGGGTGAAAGCAAGGGGAAGGTTTAGGACTCGCTGAAAAAATTAAATGAGGGTGCCGATCTTATCCCGCCTAAGTGCATAAAACAGTTATTTGAATACTCTTTACACTAAATCATGTTAACGTTTACCTTTGTAATATTTTGAAAAACTCACTTCTTTTCATCGAATATGCATGCAAAAGCGCTGTGATCATGTTGCATTTAGCGTCCCGTCGCGCTATAAGAATGTCTCTCCGCTTCAACGCCTTCACCAATGAATCGCAGCATACGTTCAATTGGTCCCTGAGCAAATCGACAGTGGTGCTAAGCTCTTCCATGCCTAAATAATAAAATTGTATTATCAACATGGGGATAATTTCAGTTTTTTTTCTGGGTGTGCAAGATTTAAAAAAAAACGTGTGTATATGTATACACAGTGTAGTTTTAATTAGAACTATTATAAAGAAGCAGAAAATTATAATTTATATTACATTGTACCTTTCAAATAGCTAGTAATCTAATGTACTCGTATTAAAAGCTTTTAAGCAACTATAACAACCAATTGAAGTTATTTCACTACTATTTGGGAGGGGGGGGAAGGCAAATGTGCTATAAAGGAATTCACTTCAATTCTAAAATTAAACCCTATTGTTCTCACAAAACATCATATTTTTAATTTAAAATTTATAGTAATGGATATCTATAGGTTCTTATGCAGGGCTGGCGTTAGACATGGAAGACTTGGGCCTACGCTCAGGGTACTTGTTGAAAGGGGGCATCTCTATGATATAATGTTAAAACTGAAAAAATAATAGGAATATAATTCTAATATTATATCCATTCTACTGACTATTATTTATTATGATAGGCGTATAATTTAGTCCATAGATAATAAATTATTATTATTGTCAATCGCCGTTCGTAATCACTATTTATTTAGAATTTGGATATGAATAGCATCAGATAACGATTTAAAATAAAATTACTACTAATTAAATGGGAAGGGGTGCATATTTATTTATTCGCCCAGGACGTCAATGATTCTACTGCTGGCATTGTTCTTATACTTTTGAATCCATTTAATATGACGGCACATAGAAGCATTTATGCAGAGCCTATTACTAACACTTTTCAGTTAGTGGTGCCGCTAATACCCTGCTCCTCCTCCTAATGATGCCCTTGATTATCAATAATGTATGCAAAGCTTAAGTTCGGTTAGATGTTTCTCAGTAGATTGACAAAATGGTCAGAAATAATTTTAAGTCCTGAAACTTTAGGAGGATGGAACTATAACGTTAGAAACCTACCATCTCTGCATATAATACACACGTTTACTCACAATATCCGGTTCAAATAAACATTTCATACTGCAAGTGGTTTGCATATTGATGTCGCAAAATTAGTCCTCGGATATTATTTATATTTTTAGTGCATACAAGAAAATTTACTTATTCGCGTCAATGTATCAATTACATAGTAAAAAAGGTCATGGGGGAGATCCGATATTTATTTTAACTCCGTAAACACATCACTGATCATCATTGTCATTAAATGTTGACATATAATTTATTACATAGTGTACATTGTTTGGAACTGTGAAAAAGCAATCTGATTTTTTGGTCAGTGAAATATTAACAAGATGTTCACAACTTCAATACTAGTGTGACTTTAACGTATCTACTACAGAGCGTGGTGGTATGCAGAATCACAAATTCTTAGTTAGTTAGTTCTAGAGAAATCAATTTCTGTGTTAAACCTTTTGAGTTCTATGAAAATGTTATGCAGACAAAAGATAAATAATATTTTGACAACAATTTAAAATGAATGTTTTTTGTTCAAATAAACGATATTGATGACCACTGTGATAGACATACATAATAATGATGATTACTCGATATATATAGGTATACTGAAATTTAATTAGACATAAATATCGGCCGTATGAGATTGGGAATTCGAAAAACGTAACGGTTGAGACGAACAGCGCGGGAAACATACATTTAATTTATTTTGTTAATGTTATTCGCGAACGGTTTTTCGATAAGCAATGTTTAATCCGTTGATTAGTTGAGTTCAACGCACTAACTATAATGCCATAAAAAATTCGGTCGGACGCGATATGAGTTGCGTATTTAGAACTGACAATAACGCGTGGTCGGCAGGACTGAGTATTTGCAATCGTCGTGGTATAGTGTTTTATTTGAATTGCACACGAATATCTTTCACACAAGCGCCGTGTGATGTCGTATTCGTTTTTAATGTTATATGTAATTTCTGTACTGATTTTTTTAGAATTATTTCGCAAAAAAATCGATAAGTATTATGTAAAATATGTATTATAATATGTGGACGAATTTGTTTTAACGGAAACATAAACGAGTAAATTTTTGTCAATTGCGAAAACTTTATCAGCTTCAATAAGAGTCCGTCGATTGGTTCATTTTTATAATCTATGCTCAGACGCATTTCCTTTTAACTGAATAAATCAAACACACACACGCAAAAACATACACTGAAATTAAATATCCATGACATGAAACTACTACCTTGCGCAGAGTCAATCAAACTTGGTGTTCGCTGGATTATTGGGAAGGACACGGCTTCTTTTACGAGATTTTTACGTTTCAAAGATTTTCTAATTTCTAAAATAATCATTTTTCGATCCATCTCTATAATATTTTCGTCATTGACCATATTACTGGATTTTTAATGTATAGAAATATACGTACGATATATTATATTGCTTGCATGTAAGACTTATGAATACATAACAGTGTTTAGTGCACGGGTTTTTTTTTATCTTTAGGAGTTAATTAGTAATAATTATTTGATTATAATTTGAAATTGTTTTAAAACGAAAAACATCGGTTTATTCAATAATAGAACCATTATACATGGGGAAAGGTCAACAAAAATATTTTACAGATATTGTGTAAATGCGTTTTTATAGTAATTTTTTTTTTTTTTTTTTAAGTCAACTTTGTAAAATATTTCGTTAGACAGATTTTAGTAAATCTAAACTCCCAAAAATTAAATACTTTAAAAAACTATGCTTCGTTTATATGGTTTCCTGATGTATCGAACCAACATGATGTACGAATAACTTATCTAAAAGTCAAAACTCCGTATATTTTAGATATATTTTATATCCACATCCGATTTAAAGCACTAACGGAGAGCGTCGTAACTTGTATTATTGAAATTGTTCACAAACCGTTGACTGTCTCGTTCACAAGATTTATTTAATATCACTATCATTAATCAGCATGGTTGAACTTTACACTATTTGTAGAATCGATCTTTATTAATGTGAAGCTAATAAAAAATCGACTTACTATCGATTTCGATAACACCATATGTGTTTCCAGCGATCCGTTTCGAATTTCAACTAGTATTTATGTCTTGAAAATGAGACTTCTCTGCTGATTTGTATCTAGGAGTCATGATTAGTTGTCATAGTTCGATGGTTACGTATTATGAAATACCGTCGAGGACAGCATGACATGCATACTAATATTTTTATATACACCAAAATGCACTACACACCGATTTGATCACGGTTTCAAAGGGCGGGTTATGCAAATATTTATACTCTCTTTCTCAGTCACTAATGAAAATTTCACTGATCAACTACTATTTTTAATTGATACAAGCCGACATGAATACGAAACATTCTACATTATGTATGCTAATGCTATAACATATCATACACCACTACTTACATCTCATTCTATACCGGACTTCAAACGGACGAAAGGACCAGAATCTCCTATTAAAAGAGAAGTTGGTTAGGTCAGGTTAGGTAGCGGTAACAAACTCTATTGTTTGTTACCGCAAACCATCACCGTGTTTTTCCGTTGTTTGTAGTTATGTACATCTTATACTCTGTCGACTTTCGAAGCGCTATGACATGAGTACAATTAGTTGCCAGACTGCACCAGTGTGTATATGGTTGATGGAGGTGTGGTGCAGTGAGAGATAATATTGCAAAGTAAAAGTCGTAGTTATGTATATGCGCCAACTACTGAAACTCTACACACCACACACACACACACACACACACACACACACACACACACACACACACACACACACACA